TGAGAAAAAGAGCGGAGGGCACGGATTATCGAACAATAAACGAGCGAGTAGAAACTGAGAATGACACTCCAGAGAGAATGGAAGGCCCTGGATTGAGGCGAAAAGTAACACATTGAGGGATAGATCAAGGGGATGATCGTTGTGACAGTCATGAAGAGCAGGAGCATCCAGACGAACGTTGCAGTGACGGAAAAGACGACGACATCTGAGTGGAAAAGGAGGATGAGGAGGCCGACGAAGAACAGAATGACGGCGGCGATCAGAAGAAGAGGCACAAGCGAGATGATAGCAGGGATGTGCGCCTTTTGAGGTCGAGAGCCGGTAGATGCGCGTCGTGTGATTGGTGCGGAGAACCCGTACAGCCCGGTGTTGTACTCTTTGAGCCACTGCTTCACCATGATCCCGATCGTCGCGACGACATGCTGAACGTAAGACTGGTGAACAGAGCGCATTCACCAAACGGCCCAGGTCTCGGGGCGAAACGGGGTCGTAACGATATCCCGGAACGCCAAGGCGGTGGAGTTGGCGAAGGAGGGATTGAGGGCAAAGCTCTTCAAGCTGGCAGAGACCTGAGTGAGTATCGCGTTGGTTTGATCGCTTGATTGAGGCTGGAGCATGGCAAAGGGCGATGGTGTTGAACGCGGTGAGAGCGGCAGAGAACAGACCATCCTGAGCGATCGCGGGTAAGGGTCACTGCCGAGGCACGAACGTCGAGACGTACAAATGTCAAGAGACCGTCAATCTCTTGTTCCACTGGTCGACGAGCTCATCACTATACTTCTCCACCGTCTTTCTAGTCTCGCTCCACGCCGCATCGATCTCCGCCTGCTTGAAATTCTTAGTAGGCAGTATTATCGTTCAGATTATTCGGCATGTATCAATGCAAACGAGTGAGATGCGGGACGTACTATCACATCGCCGTGAATATCCGGCAGTTTTTATCTCCTGCTGCCTAGCGATGGTTCGATACGAGTCTGCGCACCCCATGAATGTCATCTGGCTGCGTGTGAATGATATACTCACGGGTTCGATCCCACCAGCTTCCGTTCCGTTCCAATCCCCTCGTTTGCCGGTTGTGGGGGCTGATCGATAGTGGGCATACGAGAGGGACGTGGAAGCGTTTGAAATATACCTTCTTGAATTCGTGAAGAATCTCCTTCAGCAGGGCGCATACATTGTCAAGGGACGCGTTCACCTGATCGAACTTCGTGAGTCATTGTAGGGTCTGAAAAGAGTGACATACATACTGGGGTCGTCCCGGCGGAGCACGTATCCTCGGGGAGACGAGCGGTCTCTGCCAAGTCCGATGATCATCTGCGGAGGTTGTTGAAGGACGATTGCGGCGAGGTCTGGGTGTGAGTGCATCAGCCGTCGTTCGCCTCATTGGGCAATTCACGTTTGTGCGCACCGGAGCGCGGGGTGAATCCTTGGCAGAGACGGTCGGCGAGGGGGCATAGTGACTCGTGAGGCTGACTGGGATGGAGTTTTTCCTGAGCGCTGGATCTCGCGAGACGGGATGTGGGTGGGGACGTGGGCGGGGACTAGGACGGGGAGTGAGCGGAGGGGAGCTGAAGAGAAACGACGGCCTACCCATGTTGGACGCATGCGCTGACCGCGCGAACTCGGCGAGGCGACGGAGATTGAGCCCAGCATCCAGGGAGGATCATCTCAGATAGCGTTATATGAATGCTCTCGTCCACGACGTGAAGTGCGAGGCGCTCCGTGCGGCGTATTCAATGCGTGCCTTGACCATGTCACCTACTCGCTGTCACAATCCAAGTCGGCGGTGTCAGCAGCTATTCCCAAACCCAAGAAAGACGATATGTACTCGAAGTCGAAGGCGGACCGGTCGATCGTGCTTCTGAGCTGCCTTGGAAAGCTCTGTGAGAAGGCGCTGGCGGTGCGACTCCACTAGTACTTCAACGAGGGTGGCACTTGTCGCAGTTCGGCGAGACGTGACGAAGCAGAGGCCTATGGTCGATGTCCGACGCTGGCCTCTGCTCGTGCATCAAATTCGCCGGGCGTGGGCGCGCGGGATGGTCCGACACGTCCGTTTTCGCGTTCGACGTCGCACAGTTCCACCCCCGAGGGCGCCAGAGATACGCGCCCAGGTGGGCGGCAACGGAGCGGGAACGCGAGCGGTGCGCACCATCCTCCTCCCCCCGTCTGTCTCGTTTTCACGCTTTGCGCCCCGTTCAGGCGTCCACTGCCGCTTGGTGCCAGCCATCTCCTTTGCCGAATCTGCTTGTGGCGCCCACGACACGCACGACACGCGAGGATGGGATCCGGACGTGAAGAAGCTCGTCCATCCGCCTCACCCGCTTCACGCCCTCCACCGCGCACCCCGCCTCGGCCGAGCACCCGTAATCGCGGGTGCCCGGTGCTCGGTGCCGCCTTCCCCTCCTGCTTCGCCCGCCCGGCCTACCACACGTACGGTGGACACCTGCGGACGTCCACATGGGCGTCCTCTACTCGGAGATGAGGATGTTGGGGTCGCCGTGAGTTCCGGCGACCACTAGCTCGGTGAGTACACCCCGTTTTGTGCCCTCCACCTTGCTCTCCTCCGCTCTTGCGCGCGTCCTGCTTGTTCGCGCGAGCACGTCCGACTCCTCGTGGGTGTGGCACGGCGTCGCTGCCGGTGTCACTTGTCCCCCACTCTCCGCCTCACCCTCCTTTGCCTCGCCCTCCTCCGCTCTCGCGCGCGTCATGCTCATACATGCGGCACAACCTAGCCGCGCTCTACGCGCTCGTTCGACTCGCCGGCGCGCAGCACCACGTCCCCGCCAAGATCGTCGGCAGGGCTCGCAGGGAATTGGTGATCATCGAGGAGGTTGAGCGCAAGCAGTTTCGAGTGAGTCCTGACACCATTAGCAGGCGTTGCTGTACTCATCCAGGGAGCACCCTCATCACCTCTTACGCCATACACGCCAGTAACGGCACCTCTTACCTGCTGAAAGCTGACCTTGAATGTTTACCACAGCATCTCGCCGAACCCCGGCACCCGAATCCCAGCACCCGAATCGACTTCGGTGCCCGTGTTCATCGCTCCCTACCCCTATCTCCCCTCGCGCGCATCTCCGACAAGCTCACTCCAGGCCAGCTCGTGATGCTCGACCTCCGTCTCGGGTGGCAGTAATACCTCAAGCGAAGGCACGACACCATTCAGATGGACTGGCTCGGGCTCCCCTCGCACTCGGCGGACGGGCTATACAGCTGGTAAGACGCGTTCACCTCGTTCGGTGAGGGCCACGGAGGCGGCGAGCGTCACGCTGATGTACGTGGACCTGCGCACATGCTCGTCGCGCGCGATCGCTTCCCCCTCGACGACTCCCGTCCCTCGTCACCTTCACCGGCAATGACACGACGACGCTCGTCGACTTCGATTCCGATCCGCCCCCCCGTTCCGCACGCCAGTGGACGGTCCTGAGCCACGGCGGCGGTACCGCTCTCCGCGCGTGTCTCAAACGCCAGCAGGCGCGCCCCGCCGCGAGGTTCTGGGGCGACAAAGCGGATGGGTGGAACGCTACGCACTGCAGGTCCGCATGCTCCATTTTCTAGCCCCGCGGTCGCTGACACCGTGCGGTCTCTTTCTCCCGACAGCACTGCGATGCCGGCACGGCCTTCGACTTCGACGTGAGGCCCTTCGCCTTGACCGATCCCACTCTGGCCTACCTCCAACTTGGTGCGTCAGAGCGCGGCGTAGAGCAAACGCACGACGACGACAGTGAACGCGGGATGCAGGCGTGTGCCGTGCCACTGCTCGTGCGCGCGGCGCGGTGCATGTCTAAGGTATTGACACGATCGCGAACGGGCCTGCGGGCCTGCGTGTCAGGAGGAGTGGGGCTTAGATTCGTCAGAGGAGTTTATAGTTACAATTCAGCGCCTACGGTGCATATACATGCGGCGCTCTACAATACCACTGTGTAATGTCATTTTGGTGTTGAGCGCACGAACCTCCACGGGTTTCCGAGGGTCCACCGTGTGTCCGCACGGGTTGGATGACCCATACCCGAGGGAACCGTACCTGTGGTGATGCTTACGGGGTACAGGCTACATATGTATGATCCTCGTTCGCGCACGCCCCTCCTTCTGCGCACGCGTCGGCCTTCAGAACAAGAACCGCTGACGAAGGCTGAAGCACGTGCAAATATCGTACTCCAGTGAGTATCCGGGAGAACGTTCGCACACGTACTTATGGGTACGTTTATTCGATAGAGTACGACAAGACGAAACACCGAAAGTATCGGCACGAAGGCACGACAAGAACGTACACATTGAGCAATCTTGGGCGTCGCCGACGCGACTAGTCCGCACCGTCCACGTCCGCGACAGACATCGACAGCTCCGTCCGCAGCCGCTTTGCCACACGCGACTCCTCTTCGGGGTCGTCCTGCTCCTGCGTCTGCGGGGGCAGCGGCGCCGCGTATCCGAATCCTTCGTCGTCACTCTCCTCAGGCAGCGACTTGCGCTTCACTCCCCTGCGCATCCGCGACCTTCCGACCCGTGTGTCGTCTTCGAGCGTCTTGTTTTATCGCGTCGGCGTGGCCTCCTTCATTGCGTGACGCTCGGGCTTCTCCACGGGCTCCTCCACAGGCCCCCACCGACCTCGACCAGAGCCTCCCCGCCCATGTACGCACGTCCTGCGACGGCGCCGGGAGTTCCTCGCACACCCGCTGCCCCCGCGACAGCACCTCCGACCGCCACTGGAGCTTGCCGCGCTGGCTCCCCTCGCTCGTGGCGGACCGCGTACCCGAGAGGACGTGGTCGTCCTTGAGCCTGTCATCGGCGTCGGCGGGGTCGCCGGGCGCTCAGGGCGACGGCGGGTGCACGGCGAGGATGAGGCTCGGGGCGTCGAGGGACATGTGCGAGCCCGCCGCGGAGCGCTGCTCGCCATCCATGCGGAGCAGCGACGCCGTCCCGGGCAGTCCCATCAGCGGGGCGGCGGGCGGAGGGGTGTGCTCGAGCTTCGCCGCCGGCGCACCATCTGCGATGGAGGGGGCGGAGGGGAGCGACTGGAGCGACGCGGCGTGAAGCGCAGGGGGAGTCATGGGCTGGGGCGCGCCTTCGAGCTCGGCCTCGGTCACGAGCCAAGGGTGGTACAACACACTGAGCGACATGCACTCGCTCAGGGAAGACGCGAGGAGCGCGCGGATGAACCGCTCGGCTGTGGGTGTGTGAGGGGCCCAGGTCAGCTCGCGCGGCTAGGAAGAGGGAGGGCCCATGCACTCTGCTCGCTCACCTCGCACTCGTGCAGGAGCGTCCACCGCACCCGGCGGGTCGTGATGTTGGTATGGATGTCCGTGTTCGGCGGGTCTGCGTCGAACGGGGTGCCCTGCATGAGCTTGAAAGGAGAAAATGGTCAGCACACCCGGACAGACGCACATGGCAATGACAATCACGCCGACGCTCCAGCTGTCGATCAGGTTCGAGTACCCGTCCGGTGTGGGCCCTGAGGAACGCGGTTGTGCGCCACGATGCCTTGAGGTGCAAACGAGGAAGAGTCCTCGAGTCGAAAGAGCGAAGTCGGACGGCGATTGCAGGCGGTTTGTTGGACGTTGGCGGGCATGGCGAGCGCGGGTGGTACCGTCAATTGGGCGCGTCCTCCGTTATCGAAAACACGCACGCCTGCGTGTCCGCCGCGGAAGGCTTGTTGGTTGGGACATCGGCTGGGATGGTGTCCGTGAACGTGTGCAGGCGCACGGGGAGGGGAATCATAGGCAGCGGGCCAGAGATCGCTATGAGGAGGTCTCGGCACCGTGCGTACGTATGTGTCGTCGTTAGCACAGGGAGCGTCCAGTCGTAGGCCTCAGTGAGACTGCGAGTGCACTGGCACCGACTGCGAGGAAGCTGGGTACATGTACCCTGCAGAGGCGAGTGAGCTGGGGGTAGGACGGAACGGCAGGCGTCCGATAGGGACCACGCTACGAGTGTTATGCGTGGCGTTCTGCGAGAACGAATGGTCACGCTCGAGCGCGAGCGTGTGCTGCACATTCTCTGATTGCACGAGATGTAAGCGTAGGATCTTAGTGTAGGGATGTTGTGCACCTACCTCGCACAGGGTTACATACGGCCTGGGGCGTTCAGAGTTAGGTGAGGCCGTGGTACGGATGATTGAGATGTCGTCTGGCGCGTTCCTGCGCGAACAAGGCCGATGGTAGGACATGGTTGGCGCGGATGGCGGGCGTCGGTAGGGCACCGACGCGGTGGAATGAAGGGGTGCGGACGATGGAAGAGACAGAGGAGAAGTGTTGGCTGGGAGAAGGGCTCAGAGGATGAGAAGGCACGTACGAGTGGTCAGTCGCAAGCACGCTCTGATCTCCATCGCCGAACTCCCGCTCTGGGCCAGCTGACACCAACGGGCATTTGGAGTAGCGGCGCGTGTCTGGTTGGTTTGAACACGCTCGTTGAGGGATTCTTGGATGATGTCCGGCGGCGCCGGGGAGTGTGTCGAGGGTGTGGGGACCGTCAGACGGCCGATCTGTGCACGTTCGTTGAGAGAGCACAGCAATGCGCGGGAACTCAAGTACTCACGGACGGGACAGCCAAAGAGACGTGCAGGAGCGGGGCGGCGATGGTCGATGGTCGACGGGTCAAGAGGCTTCGGGACGCTGGGGGTGGCAGGTTGTGTCGACCGCGGCACGCCCTGGGACGCAACGGCGTGGGGGCGAGTGTGTTGGGCGAGGTCTTTACGCGTCTACGGGAACCGATACGTCGTGGATGAGGCGTTGTGTCGACCGCGGTGCGCCCTGCATTTGAGTCAGTCAAAGGCTGGGAGTCGGCGTGCGCCAACCGCAGGCGCTCGATTGCGTCATGCGCGCGACTCAGAATCCAGCCTGGTGCGTTCCTAAAGTCACCCTCCTCCTCCTCCTCCTCCTCCTCCTCCTCCTCCTCCACGCGTCGCAGTTCGGCGGGACGAGGCAGGGTCACAGCCTTCTGTGGTTGAAGCTGGCCTCGTTCTGTGTATCACATTCGTCAAGCGTGGATGCGCGGGATGGCCCAGCGCATCTGTCCTCACATTCGACCGGTACTACCTCGCACAGTTCTACGTACCCCCTACTATCTCTGCCGCCGCCTCGCGAACATCGACCGTGCCCTAGTGAAGACGCGCAGGGGTGAGCGGCAAGTGGGGACGTCAGAGCTGAGAGCGGTGCGCACCGTCTTCCTCTTCCTCTCCCTCCTCCATCCGCCTCACCCGCTTCCCGCCCTCCACTCGCGGGCGCCCGGTGCCCGGTGCCGTACTCTCCACCTGCTTCGCCCACCCTGCGGGGGATGTCCACCAGAGGCTCGGAGATGAGGATGTTGGGGTCCCCATGAGTTACGGCGACCCCTAGCTCGGTGAGTGCGCCCCATTTTGTGCTCTCCACCTCTGCTTTGCCCCCGTTCACCTCGCCTTCCTCCCCTTTTGCGCGCGTCCTGCTCGTTCGCGCGGGCACGTCCAGTTCGTGGATGCGGCACGCCGTCGCTGCCGGTCTTGTCCCCACCCTAGGCGGATGAGGTGTATTGCATTAGACCCGCGTCGTCCGCGGAGAGCTACGTGAGTTCTTTCCTTACTGTATGCGCATGTTGTCCTCAAGAGATGGACTTTATTCGCTGCGCATAGCCAAGATCGTGGAAGTGTGCGGCCGAAGCCGTGCGCAGGTACGTATTCGCAATTTTTGAGCGCATAATACCCACCTTGAGTATGTATACTGTACACCCAGGTTACGGCTTTCTGATGAGCGAGAACGCGGACTTGGCGGAGCGATTCGCGCTCGAGGGGATCGCGTTTATTGGGCCTCCGGCGAGTGCCATCGTGAGCATGGGCTCGAACAGGTGTGTGGTTCTTCTGCGAGTAGCCGTAGCGGCGAGGCTAAGTGCGGAGACAGCGTGTCGAAGAATATCATGTCTGCTGCAGGTGTTCTGGTCGTCCCTGGCCATCACGGGAACCAGGACCTCGACTTCTTGCAGCAAGAGGCTTTGCGCATAGGTACGAAGGTCTTCATCTTCTCCTGCGCTCGCCTCCCCGCATGAGACTTGCCACATAGACTACCCTGTTCTCATCAAACCCGTCCCAAGAGTGCGCATCGTACATGCACAAGGCGAGTTCCCACATGGCGCTTTCTTCTGCTCAACGCAAGGCGACGAAGTCGTTCGGCAACGCAGAGTGTTGGGCGGCGCCACGTTCGGCGTCGGTTTCCGCTGATTGAGACCGTTGAGGAACACTTGCTTGCAAGTCGAACACCCTGATCACCGAACTTGATGTCATCCAGCGGCAACTAGAGGTGAGTATTCGACTATTTGTACCCTTGCATTTGCTCATGACTTTTGCGCAGGTGGCAGCTGGAGATGCGCTTCTTCTCGACCAGTCCTCAATACCACTCGTCGGGCGTGCTTTCGAATCGCGCCTATACGCCGAGAACCCACGCAACTTCCTCCCCGACTCTGGCCAACTCGCCCACCTATCCACACCCACGCCTACTCACATCTTCACGGCTCCGCCGGGTGTACAACGCATACCTCTGGGAGAAAGTAGCTCTCCCTTCATGCTCGTCGCGAACACATCTGCTGTCATCGCGCCATCACTTCGTGTCGAGCAAGGATTCGAGCAAGGCACCCAAATTGGCTTCTTCCAATCGTCCATGGGCACGATCGCACGGAGGCTATGAGGAAGCCGCGAGGTGCGCTGGAAGAGTACAGAGGTCGACGAACATCAAGTTCTTGAGGGCCCTCGGGGGAAACCAGGCGATTACAGATCGAGACGTCGAGACAGGATTCATTCCGGTAAGCCTCACTGCTTATTGCGAGGTTTGTATTAGCTGACTTTTACTCGTAGAAACACTTCCACGAGCTCTTCCCACCCACACCTGAACCTCCCGATGAAGCTCTCGCACAAGCCATGTCGTCCTGCGCGACGAGCCAATTCCTGCTTCCTCCAACCCTGAGACGACACTCACTTCTCGTGCTTCAACGCGACGTTTACAAGAACCATCACCCTCCAACACAGATCCCTCTCCCACCTTCTCCGTCACTCGCGCTCACCGTGGCGGCCTCCCTCCCGGACAGTTTCTCGCCCACCTTCGCTGCCGTATCCGCCGTGCTTGAGTCCCCCCTCACCTTCGCCGGCGCACGTGCCCGCACGACCATGGTCCCACCGCCCGCCCGCCGCCTCGCCCTCGCGCGCGTCCCGCTCGTCCATGCAAGCACCACCTAGCCGCGCTCTACGCGCTGCTCCGACTCCCGGGCGCGCAGCACCACGTCCCCGCTTCCCCGCTGCGTTGTCCTCGCCCTCCGCCTCCGCCTCCGCCTCGCCCTCCACGTTGTAGTAGCATACTAATAAATATATCTTCATCTCTCACAATACACGAGTACACCCAAAAGTTGTGTTTGGAAACCATAAGGGGGCTTGGGAGAGGGCGAGCACCGGTGGCATTACTGTTGGCTCAGATTGCGCAGCCATCTCCTGTCCCTTGTTACACGACGCGCCGTGTACTATACGTCTGGTTTGCTCATATCCTTCGAGAACATGTTGTAGTGGATCCCCTGCACATGTATGACCCTCGTTCGCGCCCAGCCTGGTGTACTCACGAGTATGCGCATTCTATAGCGTACGACAATACAGAACAACGAAAACATCGACGCGAAAGCACGACAACAATGTACACATCCAGCACTTTTGGGCGTCGCCGACGCGACTAGTCCGTGCCCTCCACCTTCACGACAGACATCTCCGACAGCTCCGTCCGCGGCCGCTTCACCACGCGCGGCGACTCCTCTTCAGAGTCCTCCCGCTCCTGCGTCTGCGGCGGCAGCGACGCCGCGTATCCCTCGCCTTCGTCCTCACTCTCCTCCGACAGCGACTTGCGCTTCGCCCCCTGGCGCAGGGTATATTGGGGTGCCGCAGAACTTCTGGCTGCGTGTGTTAGCAACGAGGAACGCCGGCCCGCGATAGATGCCCACCTTGATGATCGTCTGGCCTTCGCTAGCCCAAAATCGAAAATCTTCACGCCGGGCGGATACTGTTCCGTCGGGGGAATTTTCTCCGGCTCCAGGTCACGGTGAACGATCCTTCAATCGTGCACGTGCTGCAGACTGTGATCAGAGGGCGATGAGGTGGTAAGGTGAGAGGTGCTTACCGACAGGGCGTCCCAGATCTGGTATGTGATCCTTGTGTGATCCGCGTCCGCTGTGACGACTGTGAGCGCATATACCAATGCAACAAACGAGGCGGAGGCGCACGCAGCCCGCGGTCTGTGTTGGTGATACACTTGAGCAAGTCTCCCGCAAGAGACGAGTTCCATCACCAAACCTGCATACTCAGCTCGTCAGAGCTGATCTGGAGGGCGTCGTCAGCGAGCGGTGCAGTGCGGCGCCGGGAGATCACATACTCGCGAACGTCCTGCTCATCGAAAAGTCGGCGACCTTGGCTGCGGCCCGGGCGGAGTGGTCCCTGTCCCACTCGATAGAACAGTGTGTGCTGCCTGCGGGCGGGCGTGTTGGTCAGATGGGCGGGCGCACGAGGGAGCGGGCGCGGACGCACTGATGGCCCGCGAGCCTTTGTCGAGCACGATGTCATTGAGGCGGGGCCTGCGCCCAGGCCGGTACGTGCGCTGCACCTTGAAGAGGTGGATTTGATGTTCCGGTTCGCGGTGTTGCAAGTGATGGGCACGCCCCACGAGTCGTCGGCGTCGGCCGGGTGTTCGGTCTGGGACACGAGCAGGGTCGCTGCCTGTGTCTCAAGGCGCTATTCGCTCCGTCGTAGGAGGGGACCTATCCGGGACGAGATCAGCGAGAGGCAAGCGCATACAGCGGCAGAGGCATACGCGGGAGGTGAGTCTGGCAACGACGTCGCCGTGACACGTCAGGGACAGTTCAGTGCGCCCATACCCTTTCTATGGCGGGTGGATTGCAGCCGATGTCGGATGCATGATCTGGGGGTGCCGCTCCGGGTGTGCACCAAGGTAAATTCTGGTCAAGGTTGTGGGGACGCTGGACGGAGGTGGAGGAGGGACGGGAAGGCATCGCGGGCTGGTAAGCCATTTGGCAACGTCGAGCGGCTCGTCCGCAGAGTGCGCAAGTGCCGCGTGTGCAGCAATAACCGCGTATTTCCGCACCGCGTACGAGACGACCCTAGATGCAGTGAGATCCCCGCGCCGACGGCGCTGAAGCACGCACGCGGTATAGTAGGGGAGACGCGCGGGTGCGCGCGACGCCCTGCGACGCCGTAGCCGGCAAAGACGGCGATGAAGGCAAGGGTGGGTGGGCCGTCGCCGAGCGTGGTCGCGGATGCTGGAATGCTATCCCACTTGACTGCGCCGGTCGAGCGTCGAGTAGGGGCCGGAGGAGGAAGGTGCAATCGCTTTCGAGCGATCGGTCTGCGGAACCCGAGGTGGGACGAGTTTGGAGCAACGAGCAGTACCGTACGCGAGTGGTCGCTGCCGTGGATCGAGGCAAGTATGGGCCGCACGCCAGTGGCCGACCTTCGCGAAGGGCGCATGAGATGTTCGCGATGCCGCGTGCGCCGCCGTAGCCAGGCCGCGCTCGTGTTCGGAGGTATAAACGACAACGTCACCCCGCTAGTGCGGCCGCATCAACTTCTTCCACCCGCCCAGAGTCGCGGCCGACGCTGGGCTGCTGGGAGTAGATGTCTGGCCGAAGTCGTCGAATACAGAGCCACGGCTTTTGTCGGAGGTGTTGCTCCGCATGCGGTGGCCCGATCTGAGGCTCTGTGGGATCGAGGGCGGCTGCGCTTGCCTCTGTTGACGCCCGGCTTATGCACCAAGTCGACGTCCTCGATTCGCGGCCGTCGCGCGCGCGCGCCCAAGCGCACGATGCTGTATCGGAGCTGTGGTTCCCGCGACGAATGAGACGCTCCTGCGCTCTTCTGCTGGACGGGGCCGCCCACGCATCGCGGTCGGCAAGAGGATGGCCCTCGACCTTGGGGACTCGTCAGCGACGGCAAACCAAGCTGAAGATGCAGTACGCACCTGACGGCTCACGGCGCAGGCCATATTCCTCTCCCGACTTCTTCTGCTCTTCGCCACCTTCGCTAACGCCTCTCCGCCAGCGGATGCGGGCATGGCGCCCTCGTTTGCCCTCGCTCAGTCGGTCGAACGGTCAGCTATCGGCTATCGTCAGCCCCATGGGGGTGTAGTCTCGCAGAGTGGAACGTACGGCGGGCAGGAGCCAGGAAATGTGGGGCGCAAGGCATGAGCGGTGTTCGCGCGGTGCATATTCGTGCTGTGCCCCTGCAAAATCCACAGCGCGTGCGTGTCCGAACTTGGGTGCGGCGCGGCCTCCGTGGTGTGTCTTGTGTCTGTGGAACACCGTCACCACCGTCACCACGACTATTGGAACCTCCCTGACACGGATCGTCCTCTCACGGGGTATTCGGAACGACACCCAGTCATCTCTGCGTCCCCACTGGAATCCGGACGCCAGACGCCTGCCTGCTCAATCCCCCAGAACACGAATCCAGTGGGACTGTCTGACCTCCATGATTTGCCTGCGGTCGTAGATGCCTTCCCGCTACGGCACCACAGCAAAAGCCATTGCGGCCGTGGGGAGATCGAAAGGGACGCAGGACGGGAGGCACGCACGGGAAGAAGATAAGAGCGAGGGTGCGAAACGTACCTGGAGGCCCGATCTCATCCTCCGCCTGTGTGCGGCGACGTGCGTGCGGGCTTGCATCCGGCCACAGGGGAGTGTGAAGAGAGGACGAGCTAGACCGGATGAAAAGAGAGCAGACGGAGTCGCAGAGGGTCGGCCGCCGGCCATGTTTTGCAGTTCAGGCCGGTGCGCGACCTGAGCTTCAATATCATGCTTGATTTGAAGGGCGTCGTCAGCGGGCGGTGTGGCGTCGCGCGGGGAGATGGCATGCTCGCAAGCGTTCCGTTCACCGAATTGGCCGCGGGCTACGCGGAGCGTGGTACACAGTGGTCCCCGTCCCACTCGATCGAGCAGTGCGTCCCGCCTACGGGCGGCCGCGTCAGTCAGCGGGGCGGGCGCACGGAGGAGCGGGCGCGGACGCACTAATCACCCGCGCGCCTGTGTCGAGCACGACGTCTTTGAGACGGGGCTTGCGCCCGAGCCGGTACGTACGCAATACGCTTGAGCCTTGATGCGTGCGTTCGCGGCGTTGCATGGGATAGCCACGCCCCACAACTCGTCGTCGGCTGGGTGTTCGATCTGGGACACGAGCTGCGTCGCGGTCTGGGTTTTGAGGGGCTGTGTTTCCTTTACCGTGGGAGGGTAAGTACCTGTGCGGGACGGTATCAGCGATAGGCGAGCGCATGTAGCGGGAGAGGCGTACACGAGTGGCTCTACTGGTGTCTTGTTGAGGTCTGGCATCGATGGCGTCGCCGTGATACGTCGGGAACTGCTCAGTGCACCGAACATCCTGTTCATACGGCGGGTCGATTGCAGCCGAGCTCGAGTCGATGGTTTGGGGGCGACGCACCAGGAATGCACCAGAGTAAACTCTGGCCATGGTTATGGGAGCGTTGCACATGGAGGAGGAGGAAGGACGAGAAGGCGAGAGTAGCGCTCGACTCGCCCTTGGCGTACTGCCTGCTGCTCAGCACGCCAGGGCTCTCGCGGCATGGATGACGCTGGACGAGGTCCACACGTCGCGTACCGGCTCAGGCTGCGCACGCGCACACGGCGGCTCGTCCTATGTGTGCCGGGCCCGGACGATGCGCAGGAGGTCGACGTGTCCCGCATGCGGCTGCGGCACCCCCTCGCGGACACGCGACCGGCGGTGCTGGAACTCGTGGTGGGCAAGGAGCGTTGCGCGATGGGGGCGGCGCTCCGGGAGGCGTTTACGGAGGAGGAGAGGTGCTGGGACAGCGTCACTCGGGCCGGAATTTGACGGGATGCTCGAGCGGGCAGCGTGCGCCGTCGCGGCCTGGTGCATGGCTCTGGCTCTGGCTCTGGCGGGCGGCCCCGTTGTCCCGCTGTGTGCGTATGCGTCGTCGAGAGCGCAGGGAACGTCCAGCCGTAGGCCCTTGAGTGAGGCTGCGATTAGGAGTTTGGCAGGAAGTGTGCTGGCACCGACTGCTCGGAGGAACTAGGGCGCGCGTGCCCTGTGGAAGCGAGCGGGCAGGCGTCAGATCGGGACGACGGTACGGGTGTACATTGTGTCTCGCGTCCTGCGATATCGAATGGTCCCTCTCGAGCACGAGCGTATGCCACACACTTTCTGCTTGCACGGGATGTGAGCGTAGGATTTTGGTCTAGGAGCGTTGGTTACCTACCTCACATTCAACAGCCTGGCGCGTTGAGGGTTAGGTGCGGCCAAGGTACAGATGATTGAAGGGCGACGGCGCCGTCTGGCGCGTTCTGTGCGAACACGGACGTGGTTAGCGCGAACGACGGACGTCGGCGTGGTACAGACACTGTAAAACGATGGAGTGACGACGGCGGGAGAGTCGGAGGGGGGAGTCTTGGCTGGGAGAAGGCCTGGGGGGACGAGAACATAGATGAGCACGTACGAATGGGTGGCAGCAAGCAGGCTCTCGTCTGCATCGCTGACCGCCCGCTCCGGGCTAGGTGACAACGACGGTCATTCGCCATCGGGAGTAGAGGTATGCGTCTGGTTGATTTGCACACGCTCGCTGACGGGCTCTTGGGTGATATCTGGCAGCGGGGAGTGCTTCGAGGTGTGGGGACGGTGGTCGGATGGCAGATCTGTGCGCGTTCGTTGCGATATTACAGTGAAGGGCGGAGAGCGAAGGGTGGTCATACATGGATGTGACAGCCAAAGAGGCATGTGGGAGCCTGCGTAGCATCGATGGTCGATGGTTGATAGTCGATTGCAGGTCGAAAGGCGTCGGGACGCTGGGGATGGCGACCGCTGTACGCCCAGCTGGGACGCAACGACGTGGAGGCGAGTGTGTTGGGCGGGGTCTTGACGCGTCGAGGAGCGGTACGCCGATGACGCGTTGTGTCGACCAAGGCTGGTCAGCAAGCGCCAAGCGCTGGGCGACAGAGGCGTCACCGCAGGCGCTCAATTGCGTCATGCACGCGAGGAGGACGACTCCGCGTCGAGCGAGCTTGCCTTCCCCGCCCTCTCGACCGCCTCGCGCTCTCTCAGCCCGGCTCGTACTTGCAAGCGTCAGGGCGTCGAGAAGAAAACCTAGTCCCGCCCTCTACGTTCCAGCTCTCTGTGATCAAGGTCCGCGCGTCTTCCTTCGCAACCGACCATGTCTAACGTGAAGGCGTCCAAGCAACGGACGATGGCTGATATGTAATCAGCCCGCATCGCGTACTTGTTTGCTCGTATCCTTCGATGACATGTTGTAACCTCGTTTACTTCAATCAGGACCAGCATTGGTGACTTGACAGAGGCAGTGGAGCTGGAGGATGAAAATTCGTGTCTGACTACCATCACAAGCTATTCCGTTGAATGTGTTCTCTGTTCTCGCCACACAGACATACACGAAAGAATGAAGCCCACGTCCTCAGGTAGTCCTGCGCACGAAACGCCATCCCTTCAACAGTGCGCGCGGTATATCCGTGGGTACGATCGGCAAAGTGGCAGGAGCTGCGTTGGGCGCCATGGACGTTTCGTGTGGAGTGGCAACAGCATCCACCGTGGCGAGGGAATCCACAGGGCTGTGAGGCGGGGTCAGCATCGGGAATCACAAAAGTGGCAAGGGTGGATACGAACTCGGTGTGTTTCTCCGATTGGGGGTCTCCGGTGGGAGTCCCGGGCGCGCCCGGTGGAGCGCACAGGGGACCTTCGACGTGAGATCGAGGAGGAGGAGTTTGCACCGGCGCACATCTGCATCCTCCGGCTCCATTTGACGCCAATTCTCAGTTCCAACGAGCTGTATGAACGCGCGCTCGAGCGCCGCAACGAGCGGCGGTGTGACCAGACGGCGGATGCCGTCTGAGGGATGGGAGTGTAATTCGAGTATGTCGGACAGGATATCATCGAACCAGTAGCAGGCGCCCTCCGGTGATACAGGCAGCAACCAGTCAATCGTGCTGAGGAACTTTTCAAAGGAGGAGAACGCGTGCGCGACGAACGGCTGGATCGCAGCGATGCCGTCGCACTCGCGGATCCTGGGCGCCGAGTCCTCGACGAGTTCCCGGATGGGGCGGATATGCTTCCGCATGAACTTGAACTCGCCGGTGAGGACCTCTTGAGAAGGCGGGTCTGCGCGTCGGAGGCCACGGTCGCTGACGTGCGTTTGCATCCGATGAGCCGCCGCGAAGGCAGCTAAGGTCACCGTGAGCGCTCTGACTTCGACGGCGTCGAAAGTGAAGTCGCAGACGCACCGAGTTGCAACGTTCCGGCGTCACTGATATTCTTGAACGCGCTGTTGTACCGCAATCTGTCCCATTCTGAGTCTGTGTTTGCGGGTTCAGCAGTTCTTTGAAGGCTGATGAGTATTTGGGTCCTGGTCTCTGTGTCGGGCGCCGTGGACGTTTTGTGTGGAGCCTTGGTAGCCGCGTCCACTGCCGCGAGGAAATCCACAGGGCTGTGCGAAGACGCAGTGGTCAGCGTCGGGAGTCCCACAAATGGCAAGGATGGATACGAACTCGTGTTTCGGAGCTTGGTCGCTGTGTTCCCCTGGGTGATCATCTCTAGTGGAAGACAGCGTGTCGGGCGGAGGGCACGACGGGACCTTCGACCTGAGATCGAGGAGGAGGTCTTGGCACCTGCGCACAGGCGTGAAACCATGAGCCTCCACTCGACTCCAGTCGTCCGTTCCAACGAGCTGTGTGAACGCGTGCTCCAGTGCTGTAACGAGCGACGGTGTGACCAGACGACGGATGTCGTCTGAGGGATGGGAGTGCAATTCAAGTATGTTGTTCAGGATACAGCAGAAGTGGGAGGTGTTGTCCGGTGATACGGGCAACGACGAGTCAACTTTGGTGTTGAGGAGTGTTTCGAAAGAGGAGAACGCGTGCGCGACGACCGGCTGGATCACAGCGATACCGTCGCACTCGCGGATCCTGGGCGCCGAGTACTTGACGAGTTCCCAGATGGAGTCGATATTCTTGTACATGGCCTCGAACCCCTCGGCAGTGAGCACACCTTGAGAATGTGGGTCTGCATGTCGGAGACCACGGTCGCTGAGGGGTGTTTGCATCCGGTGAGCTACTGCGAAGGCAGCTGCGGTCACAGTGAGCGCTCTGACTTCAACGGCGTCGAAGGTGGAGTTGCAGACGCACCGAGTTGCAACGTTCCGGCGTCACGGATCTTCTGGAACGCGTCGTTTTCCCACAATTTGTCCCATTCTGAGTCTGCGCTCGCGGGTTCGACCGTTCTTAGTATACTGACGAGCAGTCGGGTCCCGGTCGCTGCGTCGGGCGCCATGGACATTTCGTGTGGAGTGGCAGCGGCGTCCACCTCCACTGGGGAATTTGCAGGGCTGTGAGACGGGGTCAACGTCGGGAGTCGCACAAATGAAGGACAGATACGAGCTCGAGTTCCGCAGCTTGGTCGTTCTGATTCTCCGATTGAGGATCTCCTGTGGAAGACGGCACGTCCGGTGGAGGGGCACGGCACGGCGGGACCTTCGACGTGAGATCGAGGAGGATAAATTTGCACTTGTCCACCAAGAAACTCCGCGGGTCCATGTGACGCCAGTCCTCCGTTCCAACGAGCTGTCTGAACGCGTTCTCGAGCGCCGCAACGAGGGATGGTGTGACCAGACACCGGATGCCGTCTGAGGAATGGGAGTGGAATCGGAGTATGTCGTCCAGGATCCACCAGAACCAGGTGTTCGTTGATACAGGCAGCGACCGGTCAATCGTGTTGAGGAGCTTTTCGAAGGAGGAGAACGCGTGCGCGACGAACGGCTGGATCGCAGCGATGCCGTCGCACTCGCGGATCCTGGGCGCCGAGTCCTCGACGAGTTGCCAGATGGGGTCGATATGCCCCCACATGAACTTGAACTCCTCGGTGAGGACCTCTTGAGAAGGTAGGTCTGCGCGTCGGAAGCCACGGTCGCTGACGTGCGTTTGCATCCGGTGAGCTGCCGCGAAGGCAGCTGCGGTCACCGTGAGCGCTCTGACTTCGACGGCGTCGAAAGTGAAGTCGCAGACGCACCGAGTTGCAACGTTCCGGCGTCACTGATATTCTTGAACGCATCGTTTGCACACATTCTGTGCCATTCTGAGTCTGCGCTCGCGGGTTCAACCGTTCTTTGCATGCTGAAGAGCAGTTGGGCCGTGGTCTTGTTATACTCTGATGAAGCGGGCGTTCTCGGAGAGCTGGCGTCCTCGTCTCCTCCGCCCTCGAGCACTTCTCGCAAAGAGAACCCGCCAGACACGTTCAAGAGGGGGGTCGTAAACATCTTCACCATAAAGTCTGGCCAGTGTAGCACAGACCCTATATGTCTGAGAGGCGTCCGAAGGTCCATTCCCGATACGACTTTGCAACCTGTGGGTCGCCGGATAGGCACATCGCAGCCGTGTCCACCAGGCCGGTGTTTTGAGAACTGATCATCGCCCAGTGGACCGTTTGTGCGTCGAGATTCGTTGCATTTCGTAAGATAATGGCCTCTTCGTCGCCTTTCCATACAATGGGCTCTGGAACCTTCTTGATGACAAAAAGCCGCGGAAGGCCCGCAATCTGCGCCGCCATCCGACACTTCTGTAGTCCGGGATATACCGTCGCCCGCAGGGTGACGGAAAAAGAGAGGAGGGCACGTATTATTAAACGATAAATGAGCGAGTAGAAGCTGGAAATGACACTCCAGAGAGGAAAGAAGGCCCTGGATTGAGGCGAAAAGTAACACATTGATGGATCCATCGAGGGGATGACCGTTGTGAAGATAATAAAAAGCATGAGCATCCCAACGAACGTCGCAGTGGCGGAGAAGACGAAGACGTCGGAGTGGAAGAGGAGGACGAGGAGGCCGGCGAAGAAGAGAATGACGGCGGCGATCAGAAGGAGAGGCACAAGCGAGATGATAGCAGGAATGTACGCCTTTTCGAGGGTCGAGAGCCGGTAGATGCGGCGTCGTGTGATTGGTGCGGAGAACCCGTACAGCCCGGTGTTGTACTCTTTGAGCCATTGCTTCACCATGATTCCAATCGTCCCGATGACATGCTGAACGTGAGACTAGTAACCAGAGCGCATTCACCCATACGGCCCAGGTCTCGGGCGAAAGGGGGTCGCACGATTCCCGAACGCCAAGGCAGTGGAGTTGACGAAGGAGGGATTGAGCGCAAAGCTCTTCAGCTGGGCAGAGACCTGGGTCAGGATCGCGTTGGTTTGATCGCTTTGTTGAGGCTGGAGCATTGCGAAGGCAATGGTGTTGAATGCGGTGAGAGCGGCGGAGAACAGACCGTCCTGAGTGGTCGCAGGTGAGGCTCACTGCTGAGGCACAAAGGTCGACACGCACAAAGGTCAAGAGGCCATCGATCTCCTTGTTCCACTGGTCGACGAGCTCGTCGCTGTACTTCTCCACTGTCTTCCTAGTCTCGTACCATGCCGCATCGACCTCCGTCTGCTCGTATTTCTTAGTAGATGTTGGTGAAACCTACCGTTCAGGACGTTCAGCATATCTGAACTTTGTGACCGAGTGAAATGCGGGACGTACTTTCACATTGTTGTGTATACTATCTGGCAGGTCTTTATCTCCTGCTACGAGTGATGGTTTGATACGAGTCTGCGCACCCTATGAATCTCTAGTATCTGGCAGAAAGTGACGATATACTCACGGGTTCAATCCCGTGACCAACATTCCGTTCTGTTCCAATACCCTCGCCCGCCGCTTGTGGGCGCTGATCAATGGTGAGCATACGAGAGGGACGTGGAAACGATCACACGATACCTTCTTGAATTCGTCAAGAATCTCCTTCAGCAGGACACAGACCTTGTCAAGGGACGCGTTCGCCTGATCGAACTGTGGTGAGCAAATTTTAGTTTGCGAAAAGAAAAAAACAGGCATACTGGCAGCGTCACGGAGGAGGGTGTATCTTCAGGGAGGCGAGCCGTGTCTGAGGTTTGTTGAATGGACAAATGCGCCGAGGTCTGAGTGTGAGTGTATCAGCTGGTCATTCGCGTCATTGGGTGATTCAAGTCTGTGCGTACCGGAGCGCGGAGTGAATCCTTGGCAGAGACGGTCGGCGAGGGTGGCATAGTGAAGCGACTGCGGTGAAGTTTTCCCTGAGCACCGGATCTCACGAGATGGGATGTGGGAGTGGATGTGGGTGGGGAGCAGGACGGGGAGTGAGCGGTAGGTGAGCTGAAGAGAAAATACAGCCTACCCACGTTAGTAGACGCATGCGTTGACCGCGCAAACTGCGCCTGGCGCGCAGGTCCGCGGTCGGACGAAGGAGAGGGCTACGGTCGACGTTGGGCTCATGCTCATGCACCACACTCGCCAAACGTGGGCGTGCAGGATGGCCCTGCGGTCCGTCTTCGCGTTCGACTCTGCAGAGTTCTACCCCTCGGTCGACGGTCACCCACACGATGCTCGCGAGCATGACCTGCGGCGCCAGAGATAGGCGCCAGTGGAGATGCGCCTCGAAGCGGGAACGCGAGAGGTGCGCACCATCTTCCTCTCCCTCTCTCTCTCGTTTCACGCTTCAAAGCTTCACACCCCGTTCAGGCGTCCGGCGGCACCTGGTGCCAGCCATCTCCTTCCCCACTCTGCTGGCGGCGCTCACGACACGCGCGTCATTCCGGACTTTAAGAAGCTCGTCCATCCGCCTCCCCACTTCGCGCCCTCCGCCGCGCACCTCACTCCCCTCCTGCTTCGCCCGCCTGGCCCGCCTCCCTGCAGGTGGACACCTGCGGCGTGTGGGTGGCGTCCACCCGGGCGTCTCCACTCGGAGATGAGATCATGTTGGGGTCGCGATAAGTTACGGCGACCGCTAGCTCGGTGAGTACACCCCGTTTTGTGCTCTCCACCTCTACTTGACCCCCATCCACCTTGCTCTCTCCGCTCTCGCACGGGACCTGTTCGCTTGCGGGCACGTCCGAATCGTGGGTGCGGCACGGCGTCGCTGCCGGCGGTCTTGTCCCCCACCATCCACCTCGCCCCCTCCGCCCCCGCACATGTCCCCTTGTCCATGCGAACACGACATCGCTGCACTCTGCGCGTTCCTTCGACTCGCCGACGCGCAGCACCACGTCCCCGCCAAGATCGTCGGCAAGGCTCGCAGGGAATCGTGGTCATCGAGGAGGTTGAGGCAAGCACCTCGGCGGTTTCGGTGAGTCCTGAGACCTTTAGCAACGTCTGCGCTCATCCAGGGACCACGTCTAACGTTATACACGCCAGTGACGGCACCTCTTACCTGCTGAATGTTGCAACTTGAATGTTGACCGCGGCATCTCGCCGAACCCCAACACCGGAATCCCCGCACCCGAAACCTCGACTTCGACGCCTCCGGAGGATCCGGTTCAAACGTTCACCGTTCCTACCCCTATCTGTCCTCGCATGCGCTCTCCCTCGCGCGCATCTCTGGCAAGCTCTCTCCACGCCAGCCCGTGATGCTCGACCTCCGTCTGGGTTGGCAGTACCTCAACGAAGCACGACACCATCCAGATGGACTGGCTCGGGCTCCCCTTGCAGTCGGCGGACGGGCTATACGCTAGCAGACGCGTTCACGCCGCTCGTCGAGGGCGTACTCGACCACACGGAGGCGGCGGTCGCTGCGCTGATGGACGCGACCTGCGCGCGTGCGTCGCACGCGATCGCTTCTTCCTCCTCGACGACTCCCGTCTCTCGTCACCTTCACCAGCGACGACACCACGACGCGACGACGCTCATCGAATTCGATTCCGATACGCGTCCACCGTCCCGCACGCTGGTGGACGGTCCTGAGCGATGGCGGCGGTACAGCTCATCGTGCGTGGCACACACGCCAGCAGGCGCGCCCTGCCGCGAGGTTCTGGGCGACGAAGCGGGTGGGGTGGAGCGTTACGAACTGCAGGTCCGCATGCTCCATTTTCTTCCCTGCGGTCACTGACACCGTGCGATCTCTTCCTCCCGACAGCACTGCGGTGCCGGCACGGCCTTCGAGCGTGTGTCGGGCACGGGCACGGATGTTGACATCGACGTGAAGCCCGCGACCTTGACCGATCCCGCTCTGGTACAAAAATCAGTGAGTCTATCTCGCACTGTGTGGAGCTACGACTACGTGCTCTGCGTTTTCCATCCCTTTGGATCCGAGGTTATCCTCGCCAAGATCAGCTTCCTCGGATGAGGACGGTCCGACGTCCGTCTTTTAGGCCTTTTTCTCGCGCCCTTAAGCTCACTCACGCCCAGTCACTGTCGAATGTTTGACGACATCTTCTTCCCTCTTGTCTACCTCCCGGAACCTGCGCCTTGTACGTGCCCTTTGTCTGTCCTGTCTTCCCCGACACCCATGTCCATCCGCCCCCAGTGACCCAAAAGAGCGATCACACATCTGGCTGCTGCGATCAGAAGCAACCTCATCTCACGAGCTCCTCGACTCGACCCTGGCGGACGGGATGTACATCGACGTCGGCGATGTCCTCCTGGTCCGTGTCAACGCAGACGAGTACATGACGATGAGCCTGGACCAGCCGAAGGCGCATGAGGGCGTTCAACAGGCTCGTGAGGTGCGCCTGCCCCCATATACCGTCATCGTGATCTCTTCCCTACATTCCCCTGTTCGCTAATAATAGCTTATGTCTGGTTTTGGTTCCAGTGCTCGATGTCAGAACAGGGACTTGGCCCAGTTTTGTGGTGGAGAAACGCCGGCGTCGAAAAAATGGACAAAGGCTGACGCGTAATCACACCGCACCTGGTTCGCCCACATCCTTCGGGAACACTATCCCATCCACTGTCCTCACCATACAGAACTACGCGAAGGATCGAATCCCAGACTCCCTCCAAACCAGTCATTTGACGTCCTCACGTGGTCCTGCGCGCCGAAAAGCATCGCTTCAACCCATGCACGACAAGAATTTTCTCGCGGTATATTCGTGGAGGTGTCCGGTAAAGCGGCAGGGGTCACAACTAGAGGTAAGTATTCGACTATTTTTACCCTTGCATTTTTCTCACGACTTTTGCGCAGGCGGCGGCTGGAGATACCTTCCTCTCGATCAGTCCTCGATACCACTCGCCGGGCGTGCTTTCGGATCGCGCCTTTGCGCCGAGAACCCACGCAACTTCCTCCCCGACTCTGGCCAACTCGCCTACCTGTCCACACCGCCGCCTACTCGCATATTCACGGTTCCGCCGGGTGTACATTGCATGCCTCTGGCGGAACGCAGCTCTCCCTTCACGCCTGCCGCGAACACGTCTGTTGTCATCGCGCCATCACTCCGTGTCGAGCGAGGATTCGACCATGGCTTCTTCTAATCGCTCATGGGCACGATCGCACGGAGGCTATGAGGGAGCCGCGAAAAGTACAGAGTGGGCGACGCGTCGACGAACACCACGTTTTTGAGGGCCCTCGCAGGAAACCAGGCGTTTATCGATGGAGACGTCGAGACAGGAGTCATTCTGGTAAGCCTCACCGCTTATTGCGAGGTCTATACCAGCTGACGTATACTTTTGGAAACACTTCCACCAGCTCTTCCCACCCAAATCTGAACCTCCCGATGAAGCTCTCGCACACGTCCTGCACGACGAGTCAATTCGTGCTCCCCCCAATCTTAGGACGACACTCACTGCTCGTGCTTCAGCGCGACGTTTACGACAACCATCACCGTCGAACCCAACACGACGGGACCCTCTCCGTCACCGCCCGCCCCTTCCCGTCCACTGTGGCGGCCTCTCGCCCGGACGGTTTCTCGCCCACCTTCGCTGCCGTATCCGCCGGCTCGGATCCCATCGCCGGCGCACGTGCCCGCACGTCCATCATCCCTCAGCCCGCGCCCGCCTCGCCTTCGCGCACGTCCATTTCCATGCAAGCGCGATCTAGCCGCGCTCTACGCGCTGCTCCGACTCGCGGGCGCGCAGCACCACGTCCCCGCTGCCCCACTGCGTTGTCCTCGCCCTCCGCCTCCGCTCGCTCTCCACGTTGTAGTAGCATACCAATGAATATATTTTCATCTCTAGCAATTACATGATTATACCCAATCGGGGGAGGGCGAGCACGGGTGGCATTGCTGTAGGCTCAGATTGGCCAGATTGCGCGCGACGGCGCCTGGAGCCTCGCCCTCCCGTTGCGCCCGCGACAGCACCTCCGACCGCCGCTGGAGCCTGCCGCGCTGGCTCCCCTCGCTCGCGGCCGACCGCGGGCTCGACCAGCACGTGGCCGTCCTTGACTCCGTCGTCGGCGTCGCACCGCACACCGGGGTCGCTGCACGCTCAGGCGACGGCGGGTACACGGCGAGGATGAGGCTCGGGTCGTCGAGGGACATGTACGAGTCCCCCGCGGCCTGCTCGCCGTCCATGCGGAGCAGCGACGCCGTCCCGGGCAGCTTTCGCAGGCCCATCGGCGGGGCGTCCGCGACAGAAGGGAAAGAGGGGAGGGTGAGTGTGGAGCGCGGGCGGGGTCGTGGGGAGCGCCCGGGGCGCGCCTTTGTCCTCCGTCTCGGTGGCGATCCATGGGTGGTCCAGCGCGCTGGTGAGCGGCATGCGCTTGGTCGGCGAAGACGCGAGGAGCGCGCGGATGAAGCGCTCCGCTGTGTGTGCGGTCAACTCGCATGACGGGGAAGAGAGATGGGACACGCACCCTGCTCGCTCACGTCGTACTCGTACCGAGCGCCCACTGCACCCGTGTTCGGCGGGTTTGCGTCGAATAGGGTGCCCTGCGTGAGTTTGAGGAGAGACACTGGTCAGGGCGTTGCATCGATCGCGGCGCCCGAACGGACACAAAGACGATCACGCTAGCTGTCGACGACGTTCGAGTACCCGTCCGGTGCGGGGAACGCGTCGTGCACGGCCACCTCAGGCGCGAGGTATATTGGGGTGCGCAGAACTTCTGGCTGCGTGTGTTGGCGACGAGGAACGCCGGCTCGCGATAGATGCTCCCCTTGAAGATTGTCTGGCCTTCGCTAGCCCAAAATCGGAATCTTCACGTTGGGCTGGGTCCGTCAGGAGAATATTCTCCGGCTCCAGGTCACAGTGTACGATCCTTTGATCGTGCACGTGCTGCAGACCGTGATCAGAGGGCAATGAGGCGGTAAGGTGGGAGGTGCTTACCGAAGGGCGTCCCAGATCTGGTACGTGATCCGCGTCCGCTGTGACGACAGTCAGCGCATATACCAAGGCAGCAAACGAGGCGGAGGCGCACGCAGCTGCGTTCGTGTTGGTGATACACTTGAGCAAGTCTCCCGCCAGAGACGAGTTCCATCACGGACCTGCATACTCAGCTCGTCAGAGCTGATCTGGAGGGCGTCGTCAGCGAGCGTGCGGTGCGGCGCCAGGGAATCCATCGCGAACGTGCTGTTCATCGAAAAGTCGGTGACCTTGACCGCGGTCGTGCGGAGTGGTCCCTGTCCCACTCCATCGAGCAGTGGGTGCTGCCTGCGGGCGGGCGCGTGGGTCAGACGGGCGGCGCACGAGGGAGCGGCGCAGACGCACTGATGGCCGCGAGCCTGTGTCGAGCACGTGCATTGAGGCGGGCTTCGCCCAACGGTACGTGCGCTGCACCTTGAAGAGTGGAGCGCTTGATGTTCCGGTTCGCGGTGTTGCAAGTGATGGGCACGCCCGCAAGTCGTCGTCGTCTAGCCGGTGTTCGGTCTGGGACACGAGCAGGGTCGCCGCCTGTGTCTCGAGGCGCTGTCTGCTCCGTCGTGGGTGGGGACCTATCCGGACGAGATCAGCGAGAGGCGAGCGCATACAGCGGCAGAGGCGTACGCGGGAGGTGAGTCTGGCGATGACGTCGCCGTGACACGTCAGGGATAGTTCAGTGCGCCCATACCCTTTCCATGGCGGGTGGATTGCAGCAGATGTCGGATGGATGATCTGGGGGCGCCGCGCCAGATGTGCATCAAGGTAAATTCTAGTCAAGGTTGTGGGGGCGCTGGACGGAGGTGGAGGAGGGACGGGAAGGCATCGCGGCGCGGCCCGCGCAGAGTGGTCCCCGTCCCACTCGATCGAGCAGCGCGTTCCGCCTGCGGGCGGTCGCGTCAGTCAGCTGGGGAGGTGCACACAGGAGCAGGCGCAAACGCACTGATCGCCCGTGAGCCTTTTTGGAGCACAACGTCGTTGGGGCGGGGCTTGCGCCCGAGCCGGTACGTGCGCGATGCGCTTGAAGTGTGGGTTCGCGGAGGTGTAGGGGAGGGGCACGCCCCGCCAGTCGTCGTCGGCCGGGTGTTCCGCCTGGGACACGAGCTGGGTCGCCACCTGCGCCTCGAGCTCAGGCTGTGTTTCCTCCACCGTCGGTGGGTACCTATCCGGGACGAGATGAGCGACACATACAGCGGGAGAGGCTTACGCGAGTGACTCTTATTGTGCATACCCTTTGTACGGCAGGTCGATTGCAGCCGGGCTCGAGTAGATGGTCTGGGGGCGACGCACAAGGCATGGACCAGAGTAAATTCCGGCTACGGTTAGGAGCGCTGGACGGAGGTGGACTCAGTCCAAGGCTGGTCAGCAAGCGCCAAGCGCTGGGCGAAAGAGGCGTTACCGCAGGCGCTCGATTGCGTCATGCACGCGAGGAGGACGACTCCGCGTCGAGCGAGCTCCGCCTTCCCCGCCCTCTACACCACCTCGCCGCTCTCAGCCCGTCTCGTACTTGCACGCGTCCGGGCTTCGAGAAGAACATCGAGTCCTGCCATCTACGTTCCAGCTCTCCGTGATCAAGGTCCGTGCCTCTTCCTTTGCACCCGACATGTCTAACGTGAACCCGACAGGACGCAGTAGCTGTAGATCCGGCACAGTTCGTCTACATACCTCCAGAACAGGCTATCACCAATCAGCTGAACGAGGTTCACGCGAGACGCGTCTTGCACGGCGTCGGTCTGTGCACACGCGTCTTCGACCTCGTGGGGGTAGCGGAGGGCAAGGTGCGGCTCTGAGATGGATATCTGTGGTACAAAGATCGGTGAGTCTGTCTCACACTATGACTACTAATTCTCTGCGTCTTCCGTCCCTTTGGATCCGAGGCCATCCTCACCAAGATCAAGTCCTCGGATGAGGACGGTGTCCGACGTCCGTCTATTCCGCCTTGTTCTCGCGCCCCGAAGCTCACTCGCGCGTAGTCACTGTCGCATCTTTGACGACATCTACGTTCCCCTTGTCTGCCTTCCGGAACCTTGCCCCTTGTACGTGCTCCTCTCTCTGTCCTGTCTTCCCCGAAACCCATGCTCGTCCCCCCAGTGACCCGAAAGAGCGAGCACATTTCTGGCTGCCGGGATCGGAAACAACCTCGTCTCACGAGCCCTCGGCTCACCCCTGGCGGACCGGATATACATTGACGCCGGCTATGTCCTCCGGGTGCGCGTCGAGGCAGACGGGTTCCATGACGATGAGCTTGGTCCGTCGAAGACGCGTGAGGGCGTTCAACAAGCTCGTGAGATGCGCCGTTCCCTGTATGCCATTGCCGTGAGTGCCTTCCCTGCTTCCCCTTGTCGACGGAAAACCGCTTATGTCTGGTTCTGGTTCCAGTGCCCGATTTCAGAATGGCGACTTGGCCAGTGGAGGAACGCTGGCGTCGAAACAACGGACGATGGCTGACATGTAATCAGACCGGACCGCGTACTTGTTGTTTGCTCGTATCCTTCGATGACGTATTTTAATCTCGTTCACTTCAACCAGGACCAGCATTTCTAACTTGAGAGGAAGCGGAGCTGGAGGATTAGATTTCGCGTCTGATTGCCATCACAAGCCATTCCGTTGAATAAATTCTCTGTTCTCGCCATACAGACATGCGCGAAAGAATGAAGCCCGGGACCAGTCGCCTCACGTCCTCAGGTAGTCCTGCGCACGAAACGCCATCACTTCAACCCATGCACGACGAAAAGCTAAGGTGCGCGCGGTGTATCCGTGGGTGCTGCTGACAAAGTGGCAGAAGCTGCGTTGGGCGCCACGGGCATTTCGTGTGGAGTGGCAGCGGCGTCCACCACGGGGGAATCCGCAGGGCTGTGAGACGGGGTCAGCGTCGGGAATCGCACAAATGAATGACGGATACGAGCTCGGGTTCCGCAGCTTGGTCGTTCTGTTTCTCCGATTGAGGATCTCAGGTGGAAGACGACGCGTCCAGTGGAGGGGCCCGGCACGGCGGGACCTTCGACGTGAGATCGAGGAGGCGATCTTTGCACATGCCCACCCAACCACCCTGCGGCTCCATGTGACGCCAATCCTCCGTTCCAACGAGCTGTAGGAATGCGTGCTCGAGTGCCGCAACGAGCGACGGTGTGACCAGATGGCGGATGCCGTCTGGGGAACGGGAGTGGAGTTGGTGCATGTCGATCAGGATCCCGCAGAGCCAGTTGCAGGTGTCGTCCAGTAATACAGGCAGCGACCAGTCGATCGTGTTGAGGAGCGTTTCGAAGGAGGAGAACGCGTGCGCGACGAACGGCTGGATCGCAGCGACGCCGTCGCACTCGCGGATCCTGGGCGCCGAGTGCTCGAGGAGTTGCCAGATGGAGTCAATATGCCTGTACATGAACTGGAACTCCCCTGTGAGGACGTCTTCAGAAGGTGGGTCTGTGCGTCGGAGGCTACGGTCGCTGACGAGTGTTTGCATCCGGTGGGCTGCCGCAAAGGCAGCTGCGGTCACGATGAGCGCCCTGAAGTTGACGGGGTTGAAGGTGAAGTCGCAGACGCACCGAGTTGCAAAGTTCCAGCGTCGTGGATCATCTGGAACGCGTCGTTGCCCCGCAGAGTTTCCCATTCTGAGTCTGCACTCGCAGGTTCGACCGTTCTTTGCACGCTGACGAGCAGTTGGACCGCAGTCTCGTTATACTGAGATGAAGCAGGCGTTCTTGGAGAGTTGGCGTTCTGGTCTTCTCCACTCTCTAGCATTTCGACAGAGAATTGGCCGTGCAAGACGGGGATCGTAAGCATCTTGACCATGAAGTCTGGCCATTGTCGCCAAGACCCGTAGAGGTCTGAGAGGCGTTTGAAGGTCCAGTCCCGATACGACTTGGCAACCTGTGGGTCGCCGGATAGGCATATCGCAGCCGTGTGCGCCATGCCCGTGTTTTGAGAGCTGACCAACGCCCAGTGGACCGTCTGTGCGTCGAGATCGGTTGCGTTTTGTGAGATAACAGCCTCTTCGTCGCCTTTCCATACAGCGTTGGGCTCTGGAAACCTCAGCGATAATGCAAAGTCGTGGAAGGTCTGTCTGCGCCCAACGGTAGCAGTTTCAAGGCAGCCCCAATCGCTCTGGTAGAGGGTGCGAGAAAAAGAGCGGAGGGCAGGTATGATTGAACAATAAATGAGCGAGTAGAAACTGAGAACGACACTCCAGAGAGAATGGAAGGCCCTGGACTGAGGCGAAAAGTAACACATCGATGGATGCATCGAGGGAATGATCGTTGTGACGATGACGAAAAGCAGGAGCATCCCAACGAGCGTTGCAGTGGCGGCAAAGACGTGGACGTCGGAGTGGAAGAGGAGGACGAGGAGGCCGGCGAAGAACAGAATGACGGCAACGATAAGGAGAAGTGGCACAAGCGAGATGATGAAAGGGATGTACGCCTTGTTGAGGTTCTCGAGCCGGTAGATTCGACGTCGTGTGATTGGTGCGGAGAACCCGTACAGCCCGGTGTTGTACTCTTTGAGCCATTGCTTCACCATGATTCCGATCGTCCCCGACGACAAGCTGAAGGTGAGACTAGTGAACCAGAGCGCATTCACCCACACGACCCAGGTCTCGGGACGAAAGGGGGTCGGCACGATGTCCCCGAACGCCAAGGCGGTGGAGTTGACGAAGGAGGGATTGAGCGCAAAGCTCTTCAGCTGCGCAGAGACCTGGGTCAGGATCGCGTTGGTTTGATCGTTCGATTGAGGCTGGAGCATGGCGAAGGCGATGGTGTTGAACGCAGTGAGAGCGGCGGAGAACAGACCGTCCTGAGCGATTGCGGGTGAGCCACTGCCGAGGCACGAAGGTCGACACGTACAAAGGTCAAGAGGCCGTCGATCTCCTTGTTCCACTGGTCGACGAGCTCGTCGCTGTACTTCTCCGCCGTCTTTCTCGTCTCTTTCCATGCCGCATCGATCTCCGGCTGCTTGTACTGGTTAGACGTTTGCTGCACCGATCATTCGGAACGTTCAGCATAACTTGATGCAGCGGAGTGAGATGCGGGACGTACCTTCATACCATCGTTGATATCGGGCAGTTGTGTATTTCCTGCTGCTAGCAACGGTCCGATACGAGTCTGCGCCACCCATGAACCTCTCTCTGGCAGAAAGTGAACGATATACTCACGGGTTCAATCCCGCTGGTGTTATGTTCCGTTCTGATCCCTTCTTCTGCCGCTTGTGGGCGCTGATGAATGGTAAGTGTACGAGAGGGACGTGGAAACGATCACACGATACCTTCTTGAATTCGTCGAGAATATCCTTCAGCAGGACGCAGACTTTGTCAAGGGACGTGTTCGCCTGGTCGAACTGTGTGAGCCAATTTTAGCTTCCGAAAAGAGAAAAACAGGCATACTGGCAGCGTCACGGAGGAGGGTGTATCTTCAGGGAGACGAGCCGTGTCTGAGGTTTGTTCAATGGACAAATGCGCCGAGGTCTAAGTGTGAGTGTCTCATCAGCCGGTTGTTCGCGTCATTGGGTGATTCAAGTCTGTGCGTACCGGAGTGTGGGGTGAATCCTTGGCAGAGACGGTCGGCGAGGGCGGCATAGTGAGGCTGATTGGGATGGAGCTTCCCTGAGCGCCGGATCTTGCGAGACGGGATGTGAGCGGGGATGTGGGTGGGGAGGAGGACGGGGAGTGAACGGTAAGCGAGCTGAAGAGAAAATACAGCCTACCCATGTTAATAGACGCATGCGCTGACCGCGTGCGCAAACTTCGCCTGGCAGTTCCGCGGGACGAAGGAGAGGGCTACGGTCGACGCTGGGCTCATGCTCGTGCACCACACTCGCCAAACGTGGGCGTGTGGGATGGCCCTGCGCGTCCGTCTTCGCGTTCGACTCTGCAGAGTTCTACCCCTCGGTCACCCACACGATGCTGGCGAGCATGACCCAGTGCGGCGCCAGGGATAGGCGCCAGTGGAGATGCGCCTCGAAGCGGGAACGCGGGCGGTACCTGTACACCATTTTCCTCTCCCTCTCCCTTTCCCTCTCTCTCGTTTCACGCCTCACACTCCGTTCAGGCGTCCGGCGGCACCTGGTGCCAGCCATCTTCTCGCCCACCGTGCTGGCGGCGCTCACGACACGCACAACATGCGAGGACGTCCTTCCGGACGTAAAGAAGCTCGTCCATCCGCCTCCCCCACTTCGCGCCCTCCGCCGCGCCCTCCGCCGCGCACCTGGGCACCCAATCGCGGGTGCCCGGTGCCCGGTGCCGCACTCCCCTCGTGCTTTGCCCGCCCGGCCTGCATCCCTGCAGGTGGACACCTACGGCGTGTGGGTGGCGTCCACCCGGGCGTCCTCCACTCGGAGATGAGATCGATGTTGGAGGCGCGATGAGTTACGGCGACCGCTATCCCGGTGAGTACACCCCGTTTTGTGCCCTCCACCTCTGCTTGACCCCCGTCCACCTTGCTCTCCTCCGCTCTCGCGCGGGCCCTGTTCGTTCACGTGGGCACGTCCTACTCGCGGGTGCGGCACGGCGTCCCCATCACCCCGCGCCAGTCTTGTCCCCACCCTCCGCTTGCCCTCCTTTGCCTCGCCGTCCTCCGCTCTCGCGCGCGTTCCGCCCGTCCATGCGAACACGACCTCGCCGCGCTCTGCACGCTCGTTCGACTCGCCGGCGCGCAGCACCACGTCCCCGCCAAGATCGTCGGCAAGGCTCGCAGGGAATCGGTGGTCATGGAGGAGGTCGAGCGCAAGCACCTCGGCGGTTTCGAGTGAGTCCTGAGACCATTAGCAGGTGTCGCTGTGCTCACCGAGGGATCACCCTCATAATGTCTTACGCCCTGCACGCCAGTAACGGCCTCTCTTACCTGCTGAAAGTTGCCCGATGAATGTTGACCGCAGTGTCCACAAGCTATTCGCCAAAATCCCTTGCGAGCTTATGGCAAAAGGCTTCTCAGACTCATCCTCGACTTCGACGCCTCCAGGTCCATCTTTCCCTACCTATCTGCCCCTCGCGCACTCCGAAGGCGTGCGGCTTTCCCTCGCGCGCATCTTCTCCAAGCTCTCTCCACGCCAGCCCGTGATGCTCGACCTCCGTCCAAGTTGGCAGTACCTCAAGAGAACGCACGACACGATCCAGATGGACTCCCCTCGCAGTCGGCGGACGGGCTATAAGACGCGTTCACGCTGCTCGGCGAGGGCGTACTCGACCACACGGAGGCGGCGGGCGTTGCGCTGATGTACGACCTGCGCGCGCGCGATCGTGACGTCCTCCTCGACGACTTCTGTCGCTCGTCACCTTCACTCGCGACGAAGCTCGTCGACTTCGATCCCGATACCCGTCCACCGTTCCGCACGCCAGTGGACGGTCCTGAACGACGGGGGCGGCACAGCTCGCCGCGCGTGTCACAAACGCCAGCAGGCACGCCCTGCCGCGAGGTTCTGGGGCGATGAAGCGGGTGGGTGGAGCGCTATGAACTGCAGGTACGTATGCTCTATTTTCTCGCCCTGCGGTCACTGACGCCGTGCGATCTCTTTCTCCCGACAGCCTCCGAGCGTGTGCCGGGTATGGACACGGGCGTCGACGTCGACGTGAGGCCCGCAACCTTGACCGATCCCGCTCTGGCCCACCTCCAGCTTGGGGCACCAGAGCGCAGCGTAGACGGAATGCACCACAACGGTAGCGAACGCGCGGTGCAGCCATGTGCCGTGCCGCTGCTCGTGCGCGCCGGGCGGTCTCCGGTACCGACACGGTCGCGGACTGGCCTGCTGGCCTGCGCGTCGGGAGGAGTGGGGCGTAGACTCGTCAGAGTTTGTAGTTGGCACAAGATAGCTCGCGGCCGTGCAAGTCGACAGTGCATATATGCATGTGGTGCTGTACTGTACTACTGTGTAATGCCATGGTGTCGACCGCACAAACCTCCACGTGTTACCGAGGGTCCACCTTTTGTGTGCACGGGTTGGATGACCCGCACCCGTACCCGTGATAATGCCTACGGAGTACAGGCCATGTATGATCCTCGTTCGCCCCACCCTCTCCTTCTGCGCACGCGTCGGCCTTCAGCACAAAGAAGTACTGGGACTAGACCGTGCATCGCTTCTGACTAAGGCCAAAGCACGTCCGAATATTGTACTCCTGTGAGCATCTGGGAGAACGTTCGCACATGTACTTATGCTTATGTGCATTCGATAGCGTACGGCAAGACAGAACACCGAAAGCATCGACACGAAAGCGCGACAACAATGTACAGATTGAGCACTTTTGGGCGTCACCGACGCGACTACTCCGTGCCCTCCACCTCCGCGACAGACATCGACAGCTCCGTCCCCAGCCGCTTCGCCACATGCGGTGACCCCCCCTTGATCAGAGTCCTCCTGCTCCCGCGTCTGCGTCTGCGGCAGCAGCGACGCCGCTCCTCCACCTCCTTGATCGTCACTCTCCTCAGGCAGTGACTTGCGCTTCTCCGCCGCCTTCCGGACGGGTGTGTCGTCTTTGAGCGTTCCGTTTTCTCGCGCTGGGGTAGCCTCCTTCATCGCGTGAGGCTCGGGCTCCTCCACCGGCCCCCACCCAGAGCCTCCACCCCCCACGCACGCATGTCCTGCGACGGCCCCGGGAACTCCTCGCCCGCCTGCCGCGCCCGCCCGCGACGGCACCTTCGAACGCCGCTGGAGCCTGCCGCGCCGGCTCCCCTCGCTCGGGGCGGACCACGGGCTCGACAGCACGTAGCCGTCCCTGACCCCGTCGTTGGTGTGGGAGTCGCGCACCAGGGTCACCGCGCGCTCGGGCGACGGTGGGTGCATGACGAAGGTGAGGCTCGGGCCGTCGAGGGACGTGCACGAGCCCGCCGCGGCCTGCTCGCCGTCCATGCGGAGCAGCGACGCCGTCCTGGGCGGTCTTCGCAGGCCCATCGGCCGGGAAGCGGGCGGCGAGGTGCGCGCGGTCCGCGATGGAGGGGGCGGAGGGGAGGGCCTGGAGCGACGCGGTGTGGAGCACGGGCGGGGTCGTGGGGAGCGGCTGGGGCGCGCCTTCGCGCTCCGCAGAGGTCGCGAGCAGCGCGCTGGTGAGCGACATACGCTCGCTCTGGGAAGACGCGAGGGGCACGCGGATGAACGTCTCGGCTATGTGTGCGGGACCTAGGTCAGCTCGCATGGCGAGGAAGAGAGAGCGGGCACGCACCCTGCTCGCTGACGTCCCACTCGCACAGAAGCATCCACTGCACCTGGCGGGTAATGGTGATGATGTGCTCGGTAGGTCTGCGTCGGACGGGGTGCCCTGCATGTGCCTGAGGATAGGGACTGACCAGCGCGCGGCCGGCGTTGGGTCGATCGCGGCGCTCGGACGGACGCACACGGCAAAGACGATCACGTCCAGCTGTTGACCACATTCGAGTACTCTTCCTGTGTGGGGAACGCGTCGTGAACGGCCACTTCCGGCGCGAGGTTCCGCAGAACGTCTGGACGCGTGTTAGCGACGAGCATCCTTGGCTCGCGATAAATGCTCACCTTGGGGATTGTCTGGGAACCCATCGTCTTCGCCAGCCCCCAGTCGGCGGGTACTGGTCCTTCAGGACAATGTTCTCGGGCTTCAGGTCGCGGTGAATGATTCCTTGATCGTGCACGCGCTGCAGACAGTGGTCAGGGAGCGGTGAGGCGGTGAGGACAGAGGTGCTTACGGAAAGGACTCCGCAGATCTGGTAGGTGATCACTGATCCGCTGCGTCTCGGCCCCTGTGCGATGACAGGGAGCGCATATACCAAGGCAAAAACTGAGGCGGGGGCGCAGGCAGCCTGCGGGTTGCGTTGGTGATACCCTCGAGCAAGTCTCCACCAGAGACGAGGCCTGCATACTCAGATCGTCAGAGCTGATCTGGAGGGCGTCGTCAGCGAGCGGTGCAGTGCGGCGCGGCGAGATCGGGCAGGCGCAGACGCACCGATGGCCCGCGAGGCATGGCCGAGCACAACCACGTGATTGAGATGGTGGGGCTTGCGCCCGAACCGGTGCGTGCGCTGCGCCTCGAAGAGAGAGAGAGAGAGAGAGAGAGGGCAGTTCAACCACCTCCTCTACCGGAGGTGATCCCGGAACGCCACTTAGATAAGCACAGCAGCACGCCGACTACCGCACTGTCCTGTAGACGCCCCGTCGTCCGACGAGTGGTCGCACGAGCACATATCTAATATAGTATGTACAAGAGCTACGAAACCTATTGTAGCAGTGAGCAGTCACCGCACATATTGAAAGTATGAATCGTGGTGGAGTGCGCACTCGCCGATGGGCGAGTCAAGCTCTCCGAGCACCATGCTGCGCCACGCAGGCTGCGCGCGTGACCGCACGGCGCTGAGCTGCACGAGGAGTGTACGATATCGTAGTATTTAGTGTACATGTGTACTGGTAGACCTAGAGAAATATAGCTGTTTGCCTCCGTATTTGGTGTGTGAAGCGTGCGTGAATCCCGAACAAGGTAAAATTGTCTCCATCTTGGACTTCTGATTTTTCTGATCAGTCTGAAATCTCTCACACGACATCTCACTAAAAATTGGAAGTAAGAGAAATTCTGAATGTCTCAAAACGTCTCATAACGTCTCACGCCTCTCCACAGAAATTTTGAGAGATTTTGAGAGATTTTGAGAGATTTCATGAAGTACTGATGCCGGACCCGCTCCGTTTATCGTGTGTATCCGATGGCGGGGTTGAGCGTTCGGACGGCAGCCCGAGCTTGAAGTACCCACACCTCATCCGCAAGACCCTCGGGACCAGGAGTTTGTGCGACGACGCCCTCGCGCGTGCACGTCTGACTAGTACAACCATTTTCCGCATGCAGTTGTGGCGTTTCCTCCAGCCGCACTCGTACCAGAGCACACTACACATTTTCAGCGAAGAAATATATTGAGTAGGGGGGAGTCCAGGGACAGTAGTACTGCAATGCTTCCGCCGCGCCATCGAGCGGCACCGCGCATGGCGGGCGGCTCGGATTTCAACGCGATGCGAGTCATGCGGCGGCAAGGGACATGTGCTGTGGTGTTAGCGGGCCCACGCGAATACCTGTGCGAACCACTCACTGTGCACGTACGTAGGCGGACGCAAGGGAGTGGCCTTACGTTGAACGATGTCCGAATTAATGGCATTCTGCGTTGAGGTCGAACTTGAGAATCGCGCACACGGCCGCGGCGCGTCGGGTGTTCTAGTCGAATAGCGAGGCTCAGCCGGTACCATCAGTTGTGCGCCACGACGCGTTGAGGGAAAAACGAGGGATGGTCCTCTAGTCGAACGAGCGAGATAGGACAGCAATTGGAGGTGGTCTGTTCGGTGTTGGCGCGGGGGCATGACGGGCACGGGTGGTACCATCAATTCAGTGGTAATAACGCAGTGAGGATCTAGGCACAGAACATAAGTATCTGGACTCAGTGCTGTGTTGAGATACATACCTCAGTCGGCCACGGCCGCGGCCGGGCAGACAGAACGACTGGAGGTACGAGGGACTGCGGCCGAGCGTCGGGGCTCGGACGCAGCGGCGGAGAATGCCGAGGTACTGTATAGTACCTATATGCGGAAGGCGCCGTACGAGACACCACGCATCGTAATGTCGATGGTCAGGCCCGAGGGACGATGGGCCACGCGCGTTCTTGGTGCGATGATTGTACCGAGGAGGGCGACGATCGGCGACGTGGGCGACAAAGTCCGGTCGAGTTGAACGCCTAGCTCGCTGCGGTGACAAATATTCGAAGAGGTCTGCGGATTGGCCGGTCGAAGCGAACGGGGCATCTGAGGCCAGCGGGCATGGTCAATTCCAAAGCCGGCGAGGTGAGGGCACGCGCAGGGTAGGCATGTTCCTGTGTCAGTGAGCGAGGTCAGTGGACAGACGTTTTCGTCATGGTGATCATTGGCGCCGGCACTCACAGGGCGTGAACCCGCGGGCGACATGCGCTGACGCATGCCCGTGCGACACGAGCACCTCTGGCGGCTCTATCCACTGGTGCGTCGGACGCGGCGGCGTCGGCGGCGGCGTCGTCGCCTGCGTTGGCTGGGGCTGCTGCAGCCCCGGGCACGGCCCTGCGTCGGGCGATGGCTCCCGTCCGTGCTGGCGTGAGCTTGGGCTTGGTGGTGCGACGACGGGTGGTACCAACCCGCAGGGCTGCGAAAGATCCCGGCCGGTTCCCGCATCCAAACGAGACCGCTGTTCCCTCGGGCGTAGGTAGTACGCGTGGTCTTGCGCGTGGTCGCGCAGGTGGGCGGCGGACCGCGGCGAGTGCGAATGGCCCTGCAGAGCTGAGAGCATACGAAAACACGTGGCGTTGTTCCGGGCGGGTCATCGGGGGCTCCATCGCCAGGTGCCTGCTGCTCAATACGCCGAGGCTTTCGCGGCGTGGACGGCGCTGGACGAGGTCCGCGCATCGCTCGACGACGCGTACCGGCGGCTGCGCACGCGCACGAGACGGCTCCTCCTGTGTGTGCCGGGCCCGCACCACGTAGAGGAGGTCCGCATGCGGCTGCGGCACCCTCGCGGACACGTCGCCGGCGGTGCTGGAGCTCGTGGTGGACAAGGCAGGTGTATGTGAAAGCTGGCGTTGTCGGACAAGGGGATGCCCTGTGAGGAAGTCTCGGCACCGTGCGGATGCGTGGTCGTGAGCGCAGGGAGCGTCCAGCCGTAGGCCCGAGTGAGACTGCGAGTGCGCTGGTACCGACTGCGAGGAAGCCGGGTGAGCGTACCCTGCACAAGCAAGCGAGTTGGAGCTGTAATGGAACGGCGGGCGTCCGATCGGGACGGCGGTACGAGTGATGTTCGTCGGGTCCTGCGAGAGCGAATGGTCCCTCTCGAGCGCGAGTGTATGTTGCACATTCTCTGCTTGGACGGGATGTGAGCGTGGGATCTTGGTGGAGGTACGTTGGGCACCTACCTCGGGCAGGGTCACATTCAACTGAGACCGGGCAGCCTGGTGCGTTCTGAGACCAAGGTAAGGATGATTGAACGGCGACGGCGCTGTCTGGCGCGTTTTTGTGCAAACGCGGCCTATGGCAGGACGTGGGCAGCGCGGAGGGGGACATCGGCAGGGCATCGACGCGGGAGAACGAAGGGCTGCGGGCAGTGTGAGAGTGGAAGGGGAAAGTCTTGGGTGGGAGATGGGCTTGGAGGATAAGAAGGTAGATGAGCACGTACGAGTGGTCGGCGTAAGCACGCTCTGGTCTGCATCCCGCTCTGGGCCAGGTGACAACGACGGGCATTGATAGTAGCGGTACGCATCCTGCTTGGTTTGCACACGCCCGCTAACGGGTTCGTGGATGATGTCTGACAGCGGGGAGTGCGTCGAGGGTGTGGGGACGGTGCTTCGGACGGCCGATCTCTGGCTGAGGGCCGCCGATCGACTGCAGCTGTGCGCGTTTGCTGACAGAGCACAGCGAAGGGCGGAGGGCGGAGGGCGGACACTCACGGACGTGACAGCCAAAGAGGCATGCAGGAGCGGAGCGTCGATGGTGGATGGTCGACGGGTCGACAGGCGTCGGGACGCTGGGGATGACGCTTGTCTCGACCGCGGTACGCCCTGGGACGCAACGGCGTGGAGGCGAGTGTGCTGGACGAGGTCTTGACATGTCGAGGTGCGCAGGTACGCGGTAGATGAGGCGTTGTGTCGACCGCGGTGCGCCCTACTTCGAGTCCAAGGCTGGTCAGCAAGCGCCAAGCGCAGGGCAGAAAGGGCGTCATCGCAGGCGCTCGATTGCGTCATGCGCGCGAGGTGGACTCCGCGTCGAGCGAGTTCGCGCCTTCCCCACCCTCTAGACCGCCTCGTGCTCTCTGAGTCCCAGCCCGTCTCGTACTTGGAAAGCATCTGGGCGTCGAGAAGAACACCGAGTCCCGCCCTCTGCGTTCCAGCTCTCCGTGATCAAGGTCCGCGCGCCTTCCTTTGCAACCGACCATGTCTAACCTGAAGCCGACAGGACACAGTAGCTGTACATCCGGCACAATTCGTCTACCTCCAGAACAAGCCATCACCAATGCGCTCAACGAGGTCCACGTGAGACGCTTCTTGCACGGCGTCGGCCTGTGCAAACGCGTCTTCGCCCTCGCGGAGGTACGGCAGGGCAAGGTGCGGCACGGAGATCGATGTCTGTGGTACAAAGATCGGTGAGTCTGTCTCGCACTAGGTGGAGTACGACTAAAAATTCTCTGCGTCTTCCGTCCCTCTGGATCCGAGGTCATTCTCGCCAAGGTCAAGTTCTCGGATGAGGACGGTGTCCGACGTAAGTCTCTTCGGCCTCGTTCTCGCGCCCTCGCGCCCAGTAACTGTCGGATTCTTTGGCGACATCTACGCCCCCCTTGTTTACCTGCCGGACCCCCGCGCCTTGTAAGTGCCCCCCTATCTAGCATGTCTTCCCCGACACCCATCTCCGTCCGCCCCCAGCGACCCAGAAGAGCGAGCACATTCCGGCTTCCAGGATCGGAAGCAACTTGCTTGTCTCACGAGCTCCTCGAGTTGCCCCTGACGGACGGGATATACATCAACGCCGGCGATGTCCTCCGGGTGCGCGTCGAGGCAGACGGGTTCCATGACGATGAGCTTGG